GGAAGGAAGGAAGGAAGGAAGGAAGGAAGGAAGGAAGGAAGGAAGGATCGAAGGAAGTTCTAAATTAATGAGGGTTAGGGTAAATCATTAGATTGATAATTTTTTCAAAAATAAGTCAGTAGAAAAGAAAAAATTTAACACAGAGGAAAATCACATTAACCCTCTCTAAGATACATTTTATTAATAATAATTTTAATAACAATAGATAAAATAATAGAAAATGAAAAGTATGGTATTCAAAGAGACAAGCACTTGCCACATAACATCCCAGACTCAGCAAAGGAGCAGAAGAGAAGAGAAAGAACTGGAGATGGTAACAAAATACAAAGACCTGTAAATAGTAGAACTGGGGCAAAATAAAGCAAAGATAATATCAATAGTAATAGGTGCCTTGGGTGGAATCCCAAAACAACTGGAGCACCACTTGAACATCCATCAACTTTGACAAAATAATCATCACCTTTACATGGAATAGTAAATATTTTTCTACCATACTTTTATCGCCATCAAACAATAATATGTGCTTATCCCAGGACCCTGGGGAGAAATTAATAGATGGATAAAAATGCCAAATCCAGTGTAAAGATCTGGCTGACTGTGCAACCAACCATAATATAGTACAGATAGTTCTCGACTTACGACCACAATTGAGTCCAAAATTTATGATGCTAAGTGGGACATTTAAGTGAGTTTTGCTCCATTTTACGACCTTTCTAGCCATGGTTGTTAAGTGAATCATTGCCATTGGTAAGTTAGTAATACGGTTGTTAAGTGAATCTGGATTCCCCATTGACTTTGCTTGTCAGAAGGCTGCAAAAGGGGATCTTGTGACCCCAGGACTCTGCAACCATTGGGGAGGCTGCCACAGCCATGAGCAAAAATGGCACTTTTTTCAGTGCCGTTGTAACTTTGGTCACTAAACAAATTGCTGTTAAGTCAAGGACTATCTATATAAGCAATATAGTATAGTTAGAATTATGTATTATTTGTACTATTGTATAAATCAAATATCACATTATTAATAATACAATAAGTAATTGTATTATGTAAGACTATTCAATTATCATCTTAAATATAATGTAACAATTATATAATATATAATTTAATTATATATTTATATTATACAATCATTAAATTATATTCAAGACTATAATTGAATTAGTTAGTATTCATTATAATTCTACAATACATTAATTAATACAACTATTGATTAATACATATTATTTTTAATTTATAACAGAAACAGTTTGGTCTATTGGTTATTAATTCATAAATGATGTAAATAGGATGATAAAACAGGAACTCATCAAATTTGCAAATGACATCAATTTGGGGAGAATTGCTAACACTTTGGAAGATACACTCAAGGTTGAGAAAGATCTTGGCAAACTTGAGCATTGGGTCCTATCCAACCAAATGCAGTTCAGTGGTAAGAAAAACAGGAATCTGTATTTAGGCAGGGGGGAAAAAAACACAAACGTACAGGTGTAGAACAGTTTGCCTTCAGGAGTTGTGGGTGCTCCATTGCTGGAGGTTTTCAAGAATAGTCTGGACAACCATTTGTTCAGGATGGTATGTCTCCTGCCTTGAACTAGAAAACTAGAAAACTCTTCTGGTTCATCCAGCTCTATAATTCTGTTTAAAGGGCTGCCCTAGGAATCAAGAGACTTTGAATTCCATTTCTATCTTAGGCATAAAAAGCCATTTGGGCCAGTCATTCTCTCTCAGTCCTGCTTATTTCATAGGGTTGCTGTTGTGGGAAAATTAGGAGGTAGACACAGTATAATTTAGGTTCTCCACCTTGAGTTGATGGGATAAAAATCAAATAAAAGAGTCTAGAGAAGAGCAACAGAGATGATTAGGGGATTGGAAGCTAAAGAAACGGTTGCTGGATTTGGGTATGTCCAGTTTAATGAAAAGAAGGAGTAGGGGAGACATCAATCATGTCTTCTGATATCAAAGAAGAGGGAGTCAAGCTATTCTCCAAAGCACCTGAGGGCAGGACAAGAAACAATGGATGGAAACTAACCAAGGGGAGAAACAACCTTAGAACTAAGGAGAAATTTCCTGACAGGACAATTAATCAGTGGAACAACTTGACTCCAGAAGTTGTGAATGCTCCAACACTGGAAATTTTTAAGAAGAGATTGGACAACCATTTGTCTGAAATGATATAGGGTTTCCTGCCTGAGCAGGGGGTTGGACTAGAAGACCTCTGAGATCCCTTCCAACTCTGTTGTTCTATTCTATTCTGTTCTGTTCTGTTCCTACTCTACTCTCTATTCTATTCCATTCTAAATAAATAAGATAAATTATATAAATGCTGTAATTTTAATTATTTATTAAGTTATTCTTATTTGAACTTCACTCCTTCTAAGGTAATCTACATCAGCAGGAACAACATTGCACTCAATGTTAGGGGGCGTGCATAAGCGCACCAACGTGCTTACCGTCCCTGTCCTATTGTTTCTTTTTTCTTTTTCTTATATGTACCCATTTCATGTATTCATAACTATTATCTTGTAAGCGATTGACAAATCAAAATAAATAAAATAAATGTATTCATAACTATGTTTTTACTTATACCTATTATCTTGTAAGCAATTGACAAACAAACTAACAAATAAATAAAATAAACCCACCTTTCCCTAACCCGTTTGTTCTTTTTGTTTAAAAAAAGGCCACTGTATATATGGCATTGGATCTTTTTTTAAATGGCATTTTTATACCGTATTTTTTTCTACGGTGCTCTCCAGGCAACATGACAACACCCCAGCTCTCACAGTTCCCGAACACCTTCAGCACCAATAAGAACCATGCAGAAAAAGCTCGCTCCTAAGAATGGGAAGAGGGTAATTTTGCACCGGGGCTGCAAAGTAAACCCCACCCCGCCACCCCTCGCCCTTTTTTCCTCTCCCGGGGAAGGAGGCCGCAGCCGGGCCAGGCCCACAAACCTGCACGCGGGTCAAGAACAGCGGCCCGCCGAGGCTCCTCCTTCCCTCCAGTCGACCGGTTTCCCGCCGGGCAGGCCTCTCCGGCGTAGAGGCCTCCCTTCGTTCCCCGTCGCCGGTCTCCGGAAACGCCGCCCGTGCGCTCTCCCTTCCCCTCCCCTCCCGGAGCCCCGCGGTGCCTGGGCCGAGCCGGACAGGAGCCGTGCCATGGAGCGCTCCGAGGCTTCCTGCTTCTCGGCGGCCTTCAGCTGCGCCTTCCTCGCCTCCTGCCTGCTCTTCTCGGCGTTCAACCGGCAGCAGCGGGAGGCCTACATGGACGAGGCCTTCCACGTCCCTCAGGCGCAAGCTTATTGCGCGGGTCGCTTCCAGCAGGTAGGCGGGCGAGCTAATCCCCAGGCCCGGCGCCGCTGTCGAAGTACGGAGTTTTGCAGGCTCCAAAAGCAGCCGAAGGTGGCTCCTTGGGGGTTTCTTTTCTTTCTTGATATCCCGCAAAAATAGACCCTCCCTCCCTTTTCCCCCTATCATTTCTCCATCCTTGCTTACCCGAAGCACCGCACAGGACCAGCCCTCTTTCTTCCCTTCAGGTTTTTTTGGACTACGACTCCCATCCTCCCTCACCATTGCCTTTGCAGGAAACGGTTTATGGAAGTTGACGTCCTTCAAATCTTTTTAAAAAAAAATATTTAAGTTTTTTATTTTTAAGTGTCTATAAGTATTAAATACATGAACAGTGTGGTTTCTGGGTGTTATTATTATTATTATTATTATTATTATTATTATTATTATTATTATT